GCAATGGTATGTGGAGGAGACTTGATAATGGGGGGAATCTAGTAACCACAATGCTGCTCATGTGATTATATATTAAATTAATTTAAAAAAAGATTATATATCTATGATTATATATATATATATATATATACGTATATATCTAGAATCATCTGGCCACTTCTCCCTATCTTCACAACTGTCTCCGTGATCTGAGCCTCTGTAACTTACCTGGATTACTGCAACAGCTTCTAACGGCTGATTCTATCCCTACTTCTATCCTCAGCTGCAGGTACGCTAGCCTCCGTGCTGTTCCATGAACACTCCAGGCACATCCCACCTGCCATCTTCTGCTTTAACTGCTCCCCCAAACAACCACTTGAGTAGCTCTTCTCCTTCAAGCCTTTGCTCCAATTTTATCCTCTCTACGAGGCCTACCTGATGAATAATGCAACCTACCCTCTGTCTCCCCCAAGCTTAATCTACTTTTTCTTTTTGCCATATTACCATTTTCTAACACAATCTGTATTTACTTTTTTATTATGTTTATTATTTACGGACTGTTTCCCAACCTTGCCACAGTCCTGCTAGAATACAAATTTCATGAGTGCAGGACTCTTCTTTTATATATTAATGTATTCCAAGTACTGAGACCAGTGCCTGGAACATCTGTACCTATAAAATAAATAGATGCTGAATGAACAAACTAACAACACTGGCTTTGGCATCGAGGGTTGCGCTAACTGGAAGATCTGTTTGAGGCCAGATTTATAAAACAGTAAAACTGGAGTAGAAAATAAAATTTCTGATACACATGTCAAAACCACAGGACTTAATTTCTCTAAACAAAAATCTTATCTGGGCAGCATTTTCCTTCAGAATAATATAAATTTAAAAAATACGTAAAATGCATAAAACATAATTTTATAATTTGAAATATTAAAAAGCTCTCCTATTAAAGAAAATAAATGAAGCTAAAACCAGGTTTATATATTTAAAAAATGTCCTGGGACACCAACTACCTAGGTTTTTCCTTTTTATAAATTTCTCCATCTGTGTAAGATTGCCCCAGCCTGATGGCCAATTTTATTTTCTTAATCTAAGTTCTAATCTTATTACCCTTCCATTTCTTTTTTTTATCCTCAGGGAAAGAGAGAGCAGTTACTGCCAGGGCATTCTCACATCTTCCAAAGAAATGGCATAGGTGTTAATCTTGTATTTACGTTTGATGTGGGTAATGATGGCTGTGACTGGAGCTGCAGCTTTATTAATATGCAGGGCTCTCACCTCATTAGTGGCGATGTATGTTTTGAAGTTAAGCTGCAATGTTTGCTGTAATGTCGGATCTGGCCTAACAGACTTTTTCACTGTTCATTTTCTTTGTTTTTACCTAGTCACTACATGCTTACAGGGTGTATGCTTTTCAATAAAGATAATTTTTCCACTGTAGTTGATTGTGGTGGAACCTTCAAACATTTTTAATTGTTATGTCCTCATGTGACACCACATGATTTTCTTAGAGAAAAGATTCTTATCATTTTTGACCCAGTAATACAAAGTATAATAAACTCTCTCCCTGGCTTGATTTTGAAGTGGCATATGCTTATTCATGGGATAAAGTGATTAATTCACTGTTATATAACAAAACCATATCTGCATGATTAGTGTGGTATATATTATTAACTGGATAAAATGATTAACTCATTGTTATATAGTAAAAACATACCTGCATTATTAGCATTTGATAGTTTATGAAGTACTTTCACATATATCATCTCAATCAAATCTTAAAAAGAACAAAATGAACAACAGTAAAGCTTTAGTATAATATTCGATGATCCACTGTGAATGGCAACAGTTGTACCTGACTTTCTAAAATAATGTCTAGTTGACAATATACACCGTCAAATAAACTAACCTGTACCAGACTAACACGCCTCATGGCGATGGGCGGTTGGTCACTGCTTGTTGCTCGTATTTCATTCTACTCTACAGTCCTCACTGGATATACACGAGAGGAAAGATATGGTTTTCAACAGCTTGTTTGGAAGTCATTAATTATGCCTTGTAAATTCCCTAATATACATAATTTAAATTATACAAAATATAATTAAAAAATATATGTGTACTTAAGTAGCTAAAAATAACAGGACCACTGTATCCCAAGGAAGCCATTTAATTGTGAGAAATGGTTTTTTTTCTCTTTTCTTATTAGGTAACTGAATATAGCTCCATTTTTTAATCTTTAAAAAATGTGTGTTTACTAATACGAGACCCTAGTTTTTATGAGCAGCATTCGGTAGGGAAGAAAATGATCAGGATGCACAGGAACTTGGAACAAGACAAACGAGTAAGAAGCGTCGATGCATCTTCTTTCACTCAGCTTCCCACTATGTCCGTACCAGGCCCCCCCTCTGCAGAAGGGCCAGTCTTTGATTTGACAATGTGAGACAGTCAGTGAGAACTCCCATCATCATTCATTTAGAGAAAGTAAAAATGAGTGTATGTGCTTTCAAGAAGGTACAGCCATGAGCTTATATAGCAAGAGTGAATAAACAAGTATATTACCTATTTAATTGCCTTAGCTGAACTTAAAAGCTCTGATCTTTAATTGCCTGATTGAACAGATCTAAAAAGCTATGATTTTTTAATCAAGGAGAAAATTAAATAGCTTTTTGGTAAATAAAATAGCATCTTTAATCTTATTTTTATGAAACCCAAGTTATTAAATATGGACAAAACCTCTAAAATACTAAGTTAACGACTACTCAATCCAGAGTACATTTCTCGTTACGCTACTTTACAAAAGTCTTTAGGGACACCTGGCTTCCTCCACTCTTCAATAAAAACACATGCTTTTAAGTTCAGACAGTAAAAGGTTCCATGAATTACTAGGAAACTCAAAAGCTAAATATATAAATATATTTAATGAAGTATATTGCCACAGCATATTATTTCTTCAGTTGAGTACCCATAATTACTGGGGAATATCCATTCACCTGCACTGTAATCCATTAGTCTTTCCATCCCCTCACTGGTATTCACTGAAAACTGAAACCCCCTGAGAGCGTTTGTCGGCCTGCTGCCTCCGCCCCATCCAGCTCCTCCCAGGGAACTTCTTTCCAGAGTGAGTGGCATTTCATGGCCGGCATTCTGCAGGCCAGCACAGCCTGAGAAGGGGGATCCGGGCTCAGGATTCTCCTTAGAAAGTTCTGTGTCTTCAATCAGCCAAACCACTAAGGCCTTTGAAAGTCACCCCTCAAAGAACCCTTTCTTAGCCCAAGATGCATCCAGAGCAAGGAAGGGCCTGCCTGCCCCTGAGAGGCTCTAGTCCACCGCACATGCCCCGGGTGGCTGTAGGTGGTCGTACTGGGAACCTGACAAACACTGCAGACTTTATTTTTAGGTCCAGTCACCAATCTGCTTGAAACACATCTATCAAGATTCCATTTCAAATGAAAAATTCCATTACTTTCCCAAAACAAAGAGTGAAACTAAAACGAATGATTTTTAAAGAAGAAAAACAAAGATGACTGCAGAATAACTAATAGTATTTCCGTAACCACTATGGTTCTTAGTGCCATGGAGATTCCTCACAGAAAGTAACAGCTAGTGAAACTCATTATACTCCAGAACTGTACCCAAAGCACAGGAGGGTCCTAAGGACCACTTTAATCACAACATCTGCATTTCCACGGCAAGGCCCTCTTAATGAAAACTTTGCTGTTGAGATTAATGATTGCTTGAGTTCCCTTGTCAAATAGATAGCAGACATCCATAAAAATCAATAAAATGACAAAAACTGATCATTGTGTTTATGACTACTAAAATGGCTATAACCACTTGTTTGGGTTAGTTGAGTATGGGGAGAGAGGAATACAGAGAATGGAAGCAACATAAGTCAAAGCATGTCGTTCTCTCTTAACCTTGGCAGTGAAAACACTCTACTTTTTTCTCACCAGATGTGTTCCTATGCTTATTTTTTTATTCCCAGGAAGAGTAATTCCAGTACAACTCAGGTCCTCTCCCTGTATCTATCTGCATTTTGCATGAAACTATACTCTGAAAACAGAGTGCACTGGCTTTAAAGAAAAATTTGGTTTATAATCCATTTAATCAGCATAAATACCTTCAAGAACCGAACTGAAAGTTTTACTTATCAAAATCTATACATTCTCTTCAAAAGAGAAAGGATTTTAGAAGAAATTTAAAATCACTGGGATATTAAAAACACAACAAAAAATAGCCCTTTGTGACAGATGTGATACTATAATTGAAGACATCAGTTGTTTCCTCTCTCATAGCTTATACCTTAAAAAAAAAACCTTTCCTTTAATTGTATCTAATGTGTATGCTGTTGCATTCCCCAAATGTACATAAAGCTAGGGTGAGCAGATGTGTAAATATAATAGTACTGTTAGTAACAGTAGGCCCTTAAGTTGTGTTTTTATAATGTTTCTCACTTAATAATTTGCTCCAAATGGATTCACACATTTTGGGACATTAAATAATGCAAAGGGAAATTCCTGTTATAACATTCAACAGTTAGATTATTCTTCTCATGTGTTCTGTTAATAGACTAAAAGATGAATTTCTCATGCATTCACCAACTTCTTATATAAAGTTTCACTTCCAAGGTATGTGAAGCAATCTCTTAAGTAACAGTGTATAATACCTGAAATGTTAATAAAAGGAAGGGATCTAATTGTATAGAAAGTGAAGGTTTTATATAAACTAGAGTTAAGTAAGAAAAACAAGATCCTGTCTTTTTCAAATACTATGAAATACCTTTCTAAATTTGGTAAACATACTCACAAAAATACAATACCAAATTCATAATCAAAATCAGAGCAGTTGATGGAGAAAATAAGAAAACTAACATTGACAAAGCAGCCATCTTTTGACTATTCAATATATCAGCTGGCTGAAACATCAGATCATTTACTCACTTTAAACATCAAGGTACCTGGAGAGGTCCCCAGCCCACCCCAAATTAAGTTGGAGCTTGTAGATTCAGTACATACCTCTGTGTAAAATCTTTAAACTCCACAAATAGGTAAGGCCTTTAACAACCTAAATTTAAGAAAAACAGTACAATGATGTTTTTTGTAAGGAATTTTCCACATTTAAGCATATAATCATATCAACCATAATTCTTCCTTCAAAATTCTGTCAGCCAATAAACATTTATTAAACATCTCACATTTCTGTGCCAGATGCTGTGAGACCACCAAATGTAAAAACTGCAAGTCCTTTTCTTCAATGTGCTTACAAGTTCTGAAGATAAGATATGATTAGCGAAAGAAATTTGTATGTGTGTGTCAAATGACCTGGAAGTATGTCTCCTATGGTGTTGTCGGTGGGGAGGAGGACAGGGAAAAGGGACAAAGGCATTCACTTTTTATTTTTCTATGCTTCTGTATGTGAAATTTTTTTCAAAGTCATGACATTTATGATCAGATATTTTAAAAAGTTAACAAATGAAGGTAATAGGAGGAATAGAGATTACTTTTCCCGCGGTAGTCAGGAAGGATTTACCAAAGTGCTGGGCCCTGAGTAAAAGATTCAACTGACGTAAAGAAGAGAAGGTGTTCAGGCCAAGGGAAAAATCTATACTCAAAGTGCTGGGGCAGGCCTCTAAAAATATCAAGGTCATGAAAGACAAAGAAACACTAACACGCTTTTCTAGAATAACAGAGAACTAAAGAGACATGACAACTAAATGCAATGTATATTCCTAGACTGGATTTAGACCAGAATTTTTTTTTCTTTTTGTCTACAAATGGTATTATAGGACAACCTGGCAAAATCTGAATAAGAACAGTTACATAAGAGTTTTGATTAATGCTTGTTTCCTGATTTTGACCAGTATACAGTGATAAGACAATGTCCTTGTTCTTAGGAAATATACACCTGAAGTATTTAGGTGTAAAGGGTCTTAACGCATGCAACCAAATGTGGCTAACTGTTAACAGCTGGGAAATCTAAGTGAAGCACTGTGGGAATTCTTTGTATTATTCTCTCAACTTTTCTGTAAGTTTAAAAATATCTAAAAATGAAAAGTTTCCAAAGAAAGGTTTTAAGAGGAATTAGGGAAGGAAAGAAGAAATATATAAAGATAATGATCTTTATAAACAGTCTGGCTGGTGCGAGCATATGTATGCAGTCATGTAGACAGTATTGAAAGGGCAAGTCAAGGCGATACAGTGAAAACAAACATCTGAATTAGATCTAGATTTCTGAAATATCAGCTTCAGTTCAGAATAACTAGTTAAGTAAGATACTGAAAAAAAGATGTTACCAAATCTTTAAGTAAAGTGCTATCTTCTAGGTGAGAAATTTAATCAGTAAAAGCTTTAAAAATCTTTTTATAGAAGTTGTTGTAAAAGGAGACGTACATACCAAATGATTTCACTCATTTGCAGAGTATAACCATAAAGCAAAAACTGAAGGAACAAAACAGACTCACAGAACCCAAGAATGGACTAACAGTTACCAAAGGGAAAGGGACTGGGGAGGGTGGGTGCGAAGGGAGGGAGAAGGGGATTAAGGGGCATTATGATTAGCACACATAATATAGGGGGGGCACAGGGAAGGCAGTACAGCACAGAGAAGACAAGTAGTGACTCTACAGCATCTTACTATGCTGATGGATAGTGACTGTAATGGTGTATGTGGTGGGGACTTGATAATAGGGGGGAATGTAGTAACCACAATGTTGCTCATGTGAAACCTGAGCATAAGACTGTATATCAATGATACCTTAATAAATTTTAAAAAAAGGAGATGTGCATATTTTTATTTACATCCACTGACCCTGTATGCACATGAGTGTGTGAACTTGCCAGTTTCAAGGTTGGCTGTTCATAATTAGGTATCAGATACAATGAATAAACCACTACTATTACTCAAAATTTACAAGACTTTGAAAGTACTCAACATTATAGAAAATTTGAGGTGAGTAGGAAGAAAACTTACTATTATGAAAAGTAACTGAGTGATTTACATATATTGAAAATGATGAAAAGAGGGTTGGGCCTAAATATGCAAGGATTTCAGTTGATCAAGAAAGACTAAGACCAATATTAAACACAGAAATGCAAAGGAAGAAACCCAATCTCCAAATACTAAAGATCTAGAAGAAGATAAAATCTGTATCAATTAATGCTGAGCAGAGGTTAACTTATTTTAATTGTTCACTCAGAGTGGAATGTACTCCTGAAAGATTTGCTAAAGCAGTATGATCAATTCTACAAATTTCTGGTCTATTTTAAGAGAACAGAATACATTTTTATAGCAAATGGTTTCTTCCAGGGTTTGGAATAAGTAGCACTACAGTAAAACTCATGTGTTCTGGACAGTAAGAGAATATTAAAATAGCAGCAATGATAACACAGAAGAAGGAAACAAGATAAAAATATTTTCTTAAGTGCTTATAAAAAATAACACTGTTAATGAAAACAATGTTCTTTTTTAGTAGTAGGATGAGGTGATCTTATTTAGAATGGAAGTAATCATCTTCTGAGTTCTGGTTAAACTTCTCAACTTATAATAAGCTTAGTTGCATATTACAAAAACTTTCCACTAAAGATAGCTCACCACTAAAAACTGGTTCCACAGAAAATGAATAATCAGAATATACATGAGAGGAAAGCAATTCATTATATTCAGATGATCAGGCAGGAAAAAAGTAATACTGATTTTTATGATACTTGCTAATATAAATTTTGCTAGAGATTATAAAAGAAAATATTATTCTTCTAACTTAGTCAAAATAGACTACATTTTCCTATAGAAGCACGTAAGAATCAGTGTACAGGTAGGCAGAAATCTTTCCATTGAAAATCTAGAGGGCATTATCGGCATTCAGTAGGTTAGGTTTCACACCAATGCTCTGACAGAGCCTTGACACTAAAAGTACGTATATAGGCTGTCAGTCACTCACTCCTTGACATGTCAAGTGCACATCCTTTCAGGGACAACTTCAATCACCATCAGCGCTCAAAATACAGTACACAGTGTCACTGCTTCAGCAATGAAAGGGAAACTAAAATGTGTTTGATGGCAGGGAAAGCCAGAAAGGCATTCCTCTTTATAGGAGACCACATTCAAGTGGAAAGTGCTTGAAAACCACCGAGCCAGTTGGAAGGCTGACATCAGCCAGTTTATGTGGATATCTTTTTCTGGGAAAATATTCTCTTGCCATACATCCTACAAGAGAAAATCTGAACAACAAATTAGAAAAGCTGACAGGGGTCCAATCCAGTAATGAACCTTGCTCTTTGGACCTGCATAATACCATAAAAGCATGCCAGATTATTAGCATCTGGAAAATAAAGTTAATTTGGCAAAGGAGAGATGCCTAAGATGGTTCTAGGCCATGAAAAGAAAGTGAACCAGTTGTAGGTGTTACGCCATACTTCTCTTTTTTCTTTTTAACCCTGATGTGTCTTTCAGTCTATCCTCTTCTTTTTTCTCATTTTCTAAGCAAAAAGAGAATGGGGTCAGAAGTCAAACAGCCCTGGGTTCAAATTATCACCAGCTAGTTTCAGAGATAACTCTGGGCACGTTATTTAATGTCTCTAAACCTTGACTTGTATGTGTATAAAATATGTCCATCATCTACACTTTTACAGAGTTTGCTGTGACAATTAAATGATACATTTGCATGTAAAACATGTATCAATGACTAGCACAAGGAAGTACTCAGCATACACCTGTTTCCCTCCTCGCTTCTGATTCTGTGGCTTCTGACTTGGCAGCAACATGGATGTGTTCTCTTGGCCTCACTGAGGAACTCAAGGGAATGACATCCGTGCTGTCATCAGAACACGAGAGGAGAGGTCACCAAGGATCCTGAGAACCCACTCAGGCTGTGCTCACGTTTGCTTTTCAAACCATGACCTAAACCCACCAATCTGCTACTCTTGTTTTCATTGGTAAAATCCTTCCACTGGTGTTTTGTCACCTGCAGTAGACGATTATCCAAGTTTGCAGCCTATGCACATTATATAAAAAAATACACTTTGGAGGCATTATACAAGTTAGGCCCCAGTGGAGTTTATAGAAAGTGGCAAAACGAAGAGCAAAATTATCAAAAGCATTTCTTCTACTCTGCCCACAGGCAGTTTTCATTGCTATGACTTGAGCCATAAAAGCTGGAGAAATTGGGCACATTTAGGAAAAAAACCACACAACTTTTAAAAATGTAAGGGCAAATGTAAACAATAGTTTGGGCTAGCAGTTATTTTAAATGCCCTTTCACTAAAATAATTTTTGTCATATTTCCAATTACCCAACAGGTAAGCCCTGTGTTTGAAGCTGGATTATTATTTGTCTTTTTTGCTGATTCCACACTTCCTCCACAGGCTTCCTACTCCAACAGACCAGTGGCCTTGTGCGGATGCCCTACACATGACAGAGATAAGATTTATGAAGTCCAGGAGGAACACGCTTCTCTACTAAAGAAAGATTCCTATTTTAGCCAAGTTCAATAGATAATTGAGTATATAGAACTCATATACTTTTTTCTTTTTTCAATTGGTATCCTTGCCTTTTTTCGCCCTT